AGTAATTTACTATTAACCCCGGCTATCAACGCCGGTTTCACGAATGACAGGACAGCGTATAATAAGATTATAACGATGATCATATTAAAGAAATATTTAGTGCCTCATTGTAAAGTAAACAGCGGCATAGCATGGATAACGCGCATAATAAATGACCCCAAAAGGTACGGAGTTATGTTATGTAATTGACTTTTGAGCCGGAACCCCTGAAAGGTCCACACAGGGAACATTTTTTAACCCTAAAAGGAGCACCGATCACCCCTACCACCTGAACAAAGGAAGTATCCCCCTCCCCTCCCCCCCGGGCTTGTACAACAGCCTTTCTTCAAGAAAATAGTTTTTGGCGCGCGCTCACTGCTTGAATACGAAAAGAATTCTCTCTTAATGTGCAATAGTCAAATAGACACAAAAGAAGACAACGAAATACGATTTGAGTCTTTTACATTGACGAAGGACAAACGTCAAAGACATCAGTGCGGTCCCAAATTTTTTTCATGGTGTTTTAAGCACAAAATGTTTTCTCTTAATTCGCTTGTTCTACTAACCAACGCAGTTCAAATTAGTAACCACCTATCCTTATCGGAAATAAGATGTACTATAACATCTATTGGTCCACTAACTATTCAATCACAGATTTTGAAAATAAAAGCAGTTTTCTTAGGCATTGCAAACCCGCTATTTTCCATAATCATTACCTTTAAATTACATAGGAATGCGGGCTCAGCTCGGTTTAAAATTAATAGTGATAATTCGATCAGTGCAATATATATGTGTCGTACAGGAATATAAACAAAGAGCTATCATAAACTTACCTTTTGTTCAACTTATCTTATTAATGTTAGAATTACCATCCGACTTCCTATTTTAATCAGAAAACATGAATATTAAAGAAACGCTGAACAGCGCTTTCGACGTCGACCACCAAGAGAAAACAATTAAGATTATTTCGAGTAACGAAATGACTCATGCAATATTCTGATTGGTTCTCGAACGAAGAGAGAAAGATTCAGCCAAGGCAATCGTCCAAAACTAGAATAACGACCGAATCAGGAAACAGAGGGCATTACCATAGTTTACTAGAGTTAGAAATTTGAAATACAATATACCTTTTTACATCGTTTTCTATGCAGCAAGCGCTCACTGACTGAGGTTGACATTCTAATATATATTGTCAAAATTTGTGGTTTAGGTTAGAAAGGCTTGTATTGAAGAGGAAGTCTTGTTTCTGTTAGAAGCAGCAATCTGTCACTCTTCTTGCTATGACCACTTGACAATAAAACTTTCGCTTTCCAAGAATCTCAGCTTCATTCATTTATTACTCTACATCGTCTGAGCCATAATTCCAATACCGGTCTTATTCGTACTTCTTGTGGGGTATTAGGTAATCAGTTCTAAAAATCCCAGAAGAGAAAATCAATGCAAACTGCATGAACGGTGTGGTTTCAGTCACTGATACCGAGCTTCAGTTGAGTTAAACCAAAATATCAAAACTAGGCAAATTTTGTTTTTGCTTCGAAAACACAAATTCAAGATATACTGGGTTAAACAAATTCCCCACCCCCTCTCCCCGAAAACAGTGGACAGCCTTTTTACTCAATATTTTCTAAGCTTAATGACAAAAATGTCTGCAGCTTTCATTTTTATCTATTAAGACTTCATATTTTCTGTCCAATGTTTTATAGTGAATAGATAAATAGAATACATTAATTAAGAAAGGCCACCTTAAGATTACATTTTATATATTTAGCTATTGCGCTGCGCTGCCAGAAACAGAAAGGCTTCGAATTAATGATGTCTCATGAACTATTGCGATAGTTAGATTCCATAGCTGAGATGAGAGTGGAAAGATYTTTGTTTCCTTTTAATTTTCTTTTTTAAAAGAAATATTTCTATAAACTTTAATAATAATAATAATAAAAAAGTCATGTTTACATGACAGCCTGTCACTTGATGTGTGCCAAGAGAAGAGTTGCCAAGAGAAGAGTTGCCTTTCTGCGACACTGACTAGGGTAAATGATTGTACATGAGATGGCGAATTACGTTCTGCTAATGTCGACGATAACTTACATTTTTCTCATCGATCAAAACTTGTACATGATGTTAAAGCAAGTTGACCACCAATATTTGAATATTCTTTAGAAATCAATGCAACATCGCACAGTACTA